TTTCATCTAAACTTATCTCAATAAGAACAAGTAGTAATTTTTTTTTTTATGTAAGTAATTTTGCATATTAAACATCACTATAATAGTAGTACTTAGAGATACACTCTAATTAAAAATACGTGTTGATTTGATGACAAAATTATAAAATATATTTTTATAAAATATTTTAAATATATTATTAGTCTCCTAAATTTAAAATAAGTTTATTATTAGTTTTCTAAACTTAAAATTATTTTTTTTAATTTCTGTAATTAAAAAAGAGAGAGAATATTTTAGTCCTTCTATATTAATATCGTTAGTAAATATGTCACATAAAGTTCATTTATAAATAATCTACTTCACAAATGACAAAATTCACTTATTAATATACTTGTCAGAAATTCACTTATTAATATACTTATTAGTGAGAACATATGATGTTGCATAAATGATGATCTTGATATACTATTGTTTTAAAGCTATAGGTATTGAAAAAAAAAATAAAATTTAGAAAGCCAAAAATAAATTTATATAAAAAATTCAATTGAATAAAAGTATAATTAAGCTAAAACATATTTTTAAAAAGAGAATAAAATATGTCATAAAATTATAACAATAAAACATTTTCATTTTATAGTAAAACTGAGAATTGTTCATGTACCGGAGGGACCGTATCGGTCACGTGAACCAACACGTGCAGTCCCGTCAGACGCCCAAGCATATTAAATCACGCCCATATGAACCTTGACGTTAGAATTGGCTCGGCATGCAGCCGAAGGCCGAGAACAGTCTACTAGCAACTATCGGTTCGGTTTAAGGACGATACAGACAAAACCACCCACCGAATCGGCTCAGCCGAATGCCGAACGAGTGAAATACCCGAGTAAAGCATATGTCGTCCGGGTCAACAGCCGAAGACGTACAGCTTCCCGGTCCTTGATCAGTCGGCTCGGCCACTCGCCGAAAGGTAGAACGGATTATAATGCTAATCACGATTAAGAAAGGTAAGCACATGATTTAGGCCTAACAACCGATTAACATTGTATTACCTAATTTGGTAAACATCTGAGAAGGCCCACCATGATCAGGCCCACGTCAAGTACTATAAGTAGGTCACACATAACGAGGTATGTCACTGTTCGATTTTACCCTAAATACTCGTGCTAATCCTGACTTGAGCGTCGGAGTGCCTTTTGCAGGTACCTCCCCCCCTTTTCGAAGAATACAGTAAAAGCTCCTGTTCGGTCCCCTCATTATCCTGAAGATCACGAGTGTGCCCAGAGACAGGTACATTTTGGCGCCCACCGTGGGGCCGAACCGAGAACAATTTGGAAACTGAGCACTATTGAAGAGAATCATGGTCAGGACAAGGAAAACTAATGTTGCGGAGAACCAATCGGAAGATGAACACCAATCCGGGGCCGAGACGGTTGAGGAGACAAACTTGACTGACTTGGTACGCCAAATGAAGGAAGAAATGACCGCCATGAAACAGCAGCGAGAGAGAGATGCTGCTGAGATGGCCGAACTGAGAGCAGAGAATGCTGCTCTGAAAGATCAATACCGGGATCCCACATGGAAACCGTCTGAGACAACCCACACTCAGGGGTCGTTCCATTCGCAAGGCCATCACACCTCTATCCCCCACGCCTCAGTTGCGGCCCCAGCTGCCCATGCGTCGGGCAGTCGACCGATACAGCCATTGCCGGTTGGAGCACATCGGCACCCCTTTACCCCCAGCATCATGCAGTCTGCACTTCTTGACCACTGGAAGTCCTTGCCACTTGACAAGTACGATGGCACCACTGACCCAGATGAGCACGTGGACGTGTTCTTAACGCAGGTTACCCTAAGCACTACTGATGACGCTGCCTTGTGCCGAATCTTCCCTACATCATTGAAAGGACGAGCATTGAGCTGGTTCACTTGGCTTCCCGCCAACTCAATCGATTCGTTTAACACGTTAGCTTCCCAGTTTACTATTCAATTCGCTACGAGCCGACCCCACCAGTTGACCTCGTCGTTGGCATTAATCAGCATCCGACAGGAGAAGAAGGAGTCCCTTCGGACGTTCATGAGCCGGTTCAACAAGGCGATGTTGGAAATCCGAGACCTTAACCCGGCTGTAGCCTTGCACCACCTGACCACTGCCCTTAAACCAGGTCCCTTTGCCAACAACATTTGCAAGAAACCACCAACCGACATGGACGATCTCCAGCGCCGGGCTGATAAATACATGCAGATGGAGGAATTAGCCGAGTTCCGCAACCAGACTAAGGTAGAAGTAATGGCCAAGCCTGAAAAGCCAGCTGAAAATAGTTTTCGAAGTCGCCTGAAAGATCTGGTACCCCGCGAGAGGCCCCCTCGTGGTCCGAAGTATTCGCAGTATACACCACTTAACACCAGCCGGTCGACAATATTAGAGCAAGCACTAGCTTCGGAAGTATTGGCCGTCCCAAAACGAGCCTCGACCCCTCCACGAGCCGACACGACAAAATCTTGCAAGTATCATCGTAATCGGGGACATTCGACTGACGAATGCTCTGCCTTGAAAGATAAGATTGAGGACTTAATCAAGCAGGGACAGTTGCAAGGCTTCGTGGATCGCCCCAATTCATCTCGGCACACCGATCGGTCGAGACGGCCTAATCACCCCGAATCCCGAAGAATAGAGACCCGCGGATATAGGGAGCGGAGCCGTTCTAGAGAAAGGCGAGACCCGGAATCTACGTCACAACCTAGGCGGGTCATCAACACGATAGCAGGTGGATTTGAGGGTGGTGGTTCTTCTTCGTCAGCGCAGCGAAGACACCTACGTGTCGTCCGACATGTCTATGCAGTTGAGACGGCTCGGCGTCGATTGCCTACTATTACCTTCACCGAAGCCGACTTCAAGGGGATCGACCCGGATCAGGACGACCCAATGGTAATCAGTGTTGAAATTCATAACTGCATTGTGCGTAAAACGTTGGTTGATCAGGGAAGTTCAACCGACATCTTATATTGGAGTACGTTCAAACAGTTGGGCATCCCGGAGTCTGAGTTAATCCCGTACGACGAACCATTGGTCGGATTCTCTGGCGAACGAGTCAAGACAAAGGGGTACATCAAGTTGTCGACTCATTTCGGATTTGAAGGAGCAGAATACCGTGACATCCCGGTAAAGTATGTGGTGGTCAACGCCAATACATCCTACAACATTCTGCTCGGCCGGCCATCCCTGAACAGACTCGGCGCGATCGTATCCACACCTCACTTAGCCATGAAGTTCTCATCCGATTCGGGGCGGGTGATCACTGTCCATGCCGACCAGAAAACTGCACGCGAGTGTTACTTCGCCAGCCTGCGGTTACCGAAACCTTGTGTGGAAACTACTGAGGAACCCAAATGTATCCACTTGGTATCGTCGCAAGGGACACTGGACCTTGACCCCCGAATGGATCAGGATGAAAGAGTTGAACCTATTGAAGAAAAGAAATCTCTCCAGGTCGGAATCTCTGATGCCCAACTCACTTACCTAGGGACCGTTCTCTCGAAACAGGAGAAGGCAACTATCGGACAAGTAATACTTGACAACCGAGATTTATTTGCATGGCACCCCTTCGACATGCCGGGCATCGAACCAGATTTTCTTTGCCATAAGCTTTCAATCAGCAGGGAGGCAAGGCCGATTGCCTAGCGGCGTCGGAAGACAGGGGAAGAGAGGAAGGCGGCAATTGAGGCGGAGGTGGCCAAGTTGTTGGAAGCACAGTTTATTCGCGAAGTACACTATACAACGTGGCTGGCCAATGTGGTCATGGTCCGAAAGCCGAATGGGAAATGGTGTATGTGTACCGATTACACCACCCTGAACACCGCTTGCCCCAAAGACGCCTACCCGTTACCCAACATCGATCGTCTTGTCGACGGGGCATCTGGCCACCGATTCCTATATTTCCTTGACGCCTATTCAGGGTATAACCAGATCCACATGCACCCTCAAGATGAAGAAAAAACGGCGTTCATCACCGAAACGGCTAACTATTGCTACCGGGTGATGCCGTTCGGCCTGAAGAATGCTGGGGCCACATACCAACGATTGATGAATAAAATTTTCCATGATCAGATCGGTCGGTGCTTGGAAGTTTACGTTGACGACATGGTCGTAAAGTCCGACGATGTTTCTGCCCATGTGCGTGACCTAGCCGAAGTATTCCGAGCGCTCCGGCAACATTGGATGAGACTGAATCCCGAAAAATGCGTGTTTGGCGTTTCAGGCGGGAAGTTTTTGGGGTTCATGTTGTCCAGTCGGGGCATCGAGGCGAACCCGGACAAGTGCCAGGCCATATTGGAGATGAAGAGTCCCAGTACTCTTAAAGAAGTACAGAAGTTAGCAGGTCGGCTTACCTCGCTTTCCCGGTTCCTTCCTCGGTTGGCCGAGATATCCCAGCCAATCCTCGCCCTGTTAAAGAAAGCAAAGCAGTTTAGCTGGACCTAAGAATGTGAAGAATCATTCCAACAGTTCAAGCAACGCCTCAGCTCACCCCCTGTACTCTCCAAACCGGTTGCCAACTCCGATATGGTAGTCTACCTTGCTCTAAAGCAGTCAAATCTTCAAATAACCTCCTGGCCATAGCTCTAGTGGTTGGGCCTTTAGCCCATGCTCTTCCATCACATTCGATAAGTGCTGTTTTGGTACAAGAAAGCCAAGGAGATCAGCAACCTGTGTACATTACCAGTCGGACACTACAAGACGCCGAGAGACGCTACCAGTTGATAGAAAAGGTAGCTTTAGCGCTCATCTACACCGCCCATAGGCTCAGGCAATATTTCCAAAGTCATAGGGTAGTCGTTCGAACCGACTACCCAATTGCGAAAGTCCTTCGGAAGCCAGAAATCGCTGGTAGAATGATGGCCTGGTCGGTCGAGCTCTCAGAGTTCGAAATATCTTTTGAGCCAAGGGGACCTATCAAGTCGCAACATTTAGTTGACTTCGTCAACGAACTCACCCCCCAGGTAGTTTTCAAGACGAGCCGTGGACCATGCATGTCGATGGATCCTCTAGCGCTCAGGGGAGCGGGGCGGGGATAATTCTCGCTAGTCCTTCAGGCATCATGGTGGAACAATCACTTCGCTTCGGTTTTCGAGCGTCTAATAACCAAGCGGAGTACGAAGCGTTACTAGCCGGAATGAGATTAGCAGCTGAAATGGGTGTGAGAAAAGTCATATGCTGGACCGATTCAAAGATTGTGGTCGAGCAGGTCAACAATAACTTTCAAGTCAAAGACGCCAATTTGTTGCAGTATTATCACCTCTTTCAGAAACTCAAAGATGATTTCGCCGAGGTTCAAATCCGGCATGTTCTAAGGAGCAACAATGAACGAGCCGACCAGCTGCTGGCTCGGCTCGCTAGCAGCAGGAAACTGGGGCAACTAAGAACAACCATTCACTTAGAAGTTCCTTCACCAAGTGTCGCCGTAGAATGCATGACGATCGATACCGAAGCACTGAACTGGATGACTCCCATTCGGAACTTCATCCTCCAAGAGGAGTTGCCCACCGATCCAGTGGAAGCAAGAAAATTGCGTACCCAGGCAGCACGGTACTCTATAGTAGCTAGTGAGCTCTACAGGCGGGGATTCTCCACCCCGTTACTCAAATGCTTTGACAATCTGCAGGCTGACTACGTAATGCGCGAAGTCCACGAAGGTATCTGTGGATCTCATTCCGGAGGCCGAACCCTGGCAGCAAAGGTGTTGCGAGCTGGCTATTATTGGCCAACTCTAAAAGGAGATTGTGCTGAGTTTGTCAAGAAGTGTGTGCAGTGCCAACGACACGGAAACCTCATTCACGCATCGGCTACCGAATTGCACAGCGTCAGCTCCCCATGGCCGTTTGCGTTATTGGGTATCGACGTGCTCGGACCTTTCCCCATGACAAAAGGGCAGGTAAAATTTCTTCTAGTTGCAGTAGACTACTTTACCAAGTGGATAGAAGCCGAGCCGCTCGCCTGCATCTCCGCAAATAATGTTCAGAAATTCATATGGAAGAGTCTGGTTACTCGCTTCGCCATTCCATATGCCATCGTTTCGGACAACGGCCTCCAATTTACAGACAAGAAGTTCAACGCTTTTCTTGAAAACCTCGGTATTCGGCACCGGTTCACATCAGTGGAGCATCCTCAGTCGAACGGTCAGGCCGAAGCTGCAAACAAAGTTATACTTACTGAGCTCAAGAAACGTCTCGGCCAGCTAAAGGGGCGTGGGCCGAAGAGTTACCGGAAGTCCTCTGGGCTTACCGATGTACGCCGCAATCAACGACCAGGGAAACACCCTTTCGCCTGACATATGGCGCAGATGCAATGATTCCGGTGGAGATAGGTGAACCCTCGTTCAGACGACAACATTTTCACGAAGAAGCTAATGATGATTCACGCCGAGCCGAGCTCAACGTCCTTGATGAAATGCGAGAAAAGGCACGAGTGGTGGCAGAGGCGTGCAAACAACGAATGAGCCGACGCTTTAATTCTAATCGAAAGCCAAGGACGTTTCAGGAAGGCGATTTGGTATGGCGAGCAACCAGGTCAGCCAGGCGCAATACTTCCGAGGGCAAGTTCTCAGCTAATTGGGACGGACCGTTTCGCATACGGCATGCACTTAACAATGGGGCGTATAAGTTGGAAGAACTATCCTGCAAGGTCATTCCGAGGACTTGGAATTCCACACATCTGAAGACATATTATAGTTAAACCAAGCTTGTATCTACTTTATAGTTATGTGTAAAATGGTGCACTCTTTTCCTTGAACCGATCTTTTTTCCCCTAATAAGATTGTGAAAAGGGGTTTTTGGTCGGCAAGGTTTTTAACGAGGCATCAATTCAATGAATATACACTTCAAATTTGCAATCATCAGATGTTGACTTCTATTAAATTTACAAGTCTTCCCTCCCGAGATGTCTCTCGGCCAAGGATGTGACCTATTAAATTTACAAGTCTTCCCTCCCGAGATGCCTCTCGGCCAAGGGACGTAGTGTGAAAGTACCGCTGCAGCATAGTATCCTTTGTTTGGTACGTCCCACTAAGCTGCTCCACCATGAGTTTTGAGTCGCTGTTGCAACTCACTCTCCGAGCTCCGAGGTCGCGAGCTA